GATTATACATAAATAGTAAATACGATCTAAGCATTTTAGGAACACTCGGATTTTAAAACGTACTGGTTTTATTGTCATGATGTCGTTATGAACTTCATATTTATAAAGCTATGACATAGAAGACGTAATATATGAAGTATACAACACATAGACATTAGATACAACCGACCGGGAGAATACATATCTCATTATTTCATTTAGGTCTATTTTTATTTGATATTGATATTTTTCAATTCTTCCATAGTTATTATAAATAATTATCGAATATTCCATTTCCGCGTTTCATGACTTTCATGTTTGAATGTTTCATTATTACATAGGTACTCGAGGTCACGTACTCACGACTCACGTATAATAGTCAATTCCCATGTCTTATGTAATTTAATTACTATTCATTAGGTCTTAATTATATTTAMAGACTAAACACTGAAATCATATTAAATTTACTTCTTGCTACAAAAATTTTCACGGGTGAGTTGAACAACATTTTAGAACGCATCTACCGAAAGTGATTTTGAAAAAATGGTTAAAGCAGTTTGTGTATTGAACGGTGAAAATGTCAACGGTACCATTTTTTTCTCACAAACTGTAAGTACATAATTATAATACGGGTACAAAATTTGTTCTTGTTAATTGTATTTATTAATTTATTTTAATTCTTAGGATGATAAAGCTCCGGTTGAAATAACTGGTGAGATAACTGGACTGTCTAAAGGCCGCCATGGATTTCATATACATGAATTTGGTGATAACACTAATGGTTAGTTAAGTATATTGATGTAAGAATTTACCAAAAATTCTAATTTTTATTTTCTAACCAATTAATAGCTTGTCATATTTTGTCATTTTGACCACTGTACCATGTAGTGTCGTGCTAAAGAKGGGGAGGGCAATTGAAGCATGTAGCCTAAGCTTTTTTTTTTTATTAAAGTAGAAAAAAGAAAAATATTCAATCTGTATAACATAAATACAATAAGTAATTTGGATAAAAATTATTACCAGACTGGATGGCTTGAGGGAAGGGAGAGTCC